AGCAGCACTGTACTCCGTCCCTTCCTCCTTCATCCGTCCTCGTGTCCCTCGCTCAATCCTTCGCTCGCTCGCTCGCTCGCTCTTTCCTCGCTGCCTTCTTCCCTTTGCCGGCCAGTCTGTCTATCTGCCTGCCTGCCGTGCTGACCAGCTCCCGCAGGCTATTCTGACGGCCTACAACGTCGGGGGCATGTGCGGCTTCTTGGTGAGGGAAAGAGGGAGGGGTAGGAGGAAGAGCGAGGGGGGAGGAAGAAGGGAAGGGAGAGGAGGAAAAGGAGGGAGTGACGAAGGTGATTCAGATCGGGGGGCTAGTAGGGCAGATCGTCTACAATCGCAACTCAACTTACGTCGGCGTGCTGATGGCGAGCACGACGAGTTTAGGGATCTTTCCTCTCATGTACCTGCTCAACCTCCCAGAAGACCCTCCTGCCGTCCCCGTCCTCTGCGTCATCGCATTCTTCGGGGGAGTCATCGCATGCGTGACGGGTGAGCATGAGGGAGCTGGTGGTGGTGGTGGTGGTGGTGGTGGCGGTGGTGGTGCTGCTGCTGGTGTTGAGAGGTTGAGCAGGGGCGAACATACGAGCCGTCCTCCTCAACGTGAACGCGCCGGAGACGAGAGGGTCAGCGTTTGCCGTCTACACGCTCATGGATGACCTGGGGAAAGGCTTCGGCCCTGCCGCGATCTCGGTATGTCCCGAGCTGATGATAGATGAAGACTGACTGCTGACCGCTCTCCTCTCTCCTCCTCTTCGTGTGTGCCCTCCTACTTTGTCCTCCTCCTCTCCTCCGCTGTCTTCTCGTCGCTCCGTCTTCTCGCCCTGCTGATTCTCCTGACCCTCGTGTCTTCTTGTGATACTCTCTGCTCCTGCTCCTGCTCTTCCTCGTCTTCCTATCAGGGCTTGATCGCGCTCAGCGGCGGGAGGCAAGCAGCCTTCAACGGAGCTGTGCTGGTCGGCTGGAGCTCCTGCGCCTTGCTGCTGCTGTGCATCTGCTTGACATTGCGCAAGGACGAGCAGAAGCTGCAGCAGCAGATCAAGTTGGGGCAGGGGGCGACGAGATGCTGCTTTGTGTAGAGAGATGCGACAGGTAGTGTAGGAGTAGGATGAAGGGGCCGGTGATAACGAGGATTACAGACTTGATGCCTTTGACATATTGGAGGAGAGAGGAGAGGAAGGGGGAGAAGTTGGTAGAGGAGGCGAGTAGCATTGAGAGGAAACGAGTTGAGGGTGAAACAAGGAGGAAACGGAAGCGGAAGAGGAGGGGAGAGGGAGAGGAGGAGCAAGAGGAGAAGAAGGGAGAAGGAGGAGAGGCTCGTCTGAGGGAAAGGAGGAGGAGGAGGAGGAGGAGGAAGAGGAGGAAGAGGAGGAGGAGGAGGTGGTGGTGGTGGAGGAGGAGGCATTTAGTTAAGATGTGTATTTGCTGATTTGGGAGACATGCCGGCGAACTATTGAAGTATTCGTCCTTGTCAAGCTTGTCAAGCTCGACCGTTGAAGTTCGCGGCGCCGTGCTCGCCTACATCCTGGCCGATCTGCCGTTAACATTATCGCCCTCCTCCTACTGTCCTTGGCCCTTGCTGGGGAGCAGGAGGAGGGAGCATGGCGAGGCTGCGCTAGTCTTGCTTCCTCCTGCTCTGACTGTCGAGGAACTTGAGGGTGGCGTACCAGACGCTGGCCATGAGGCCGAGGAGACAACCTGAGGCAGGTGAGGGGCGAGCGAGAGAGGAGGAGGGAAAGTTGCCTGAGATGTGGACGATGCTGTGACGGAATTGAGAGAAAGCAAGGATGGCGGATGGATTATGAGAGGGAGAGGGGGCGAGGCAGGAGGAAGCGAAGAGGAAGGAGGAAGGAGGGAGGAGGGAGGAGGGAGGAGGGAGGAAGAGGAAAGAGGGAGGAGGGAGGAAGAGAGAGGATAGAGGGAGGGAGGAGGAAGGGAGAGGAAAGAGCGAGGAGGGAGGAGGGAGGAGGAAGGGAGGAGGGAGGAAGAGAGAGGAGGGAGGAAGAGGAAGGAGGGAGAGGGTCAGGCAAGGGCAACAGACGTTAGACGGCAGACCTGTACTCTGCTGGAGGCATGAAGATAAAACCCCCTAGCGAGCTCACCACATTCTTCGCTTGCCCTGTGTCAAGGAATATGAGCACGGAGGAGGACCAGGAGGAGGAGGAGAAGAAGGAGGGGAAGGAGGAGGAGGAGGATGTCTGAGCGAGAAACAGCAGCAGCAGCAGGGCGAGTAGTAGTAGCAGTCGTAGTTGGAGGATGAAATGCAGAAACAGTAGCAGAAGGACGAGGTGAACGAGGAGGAGGAGCAGTAGTAGCAGTCGAATCAGGTAGATGAGAGGCAGGACGAGAAGGAGGGAGGGAGGGAGGGAGGGAGGGAGGGAGGGAGGGAGGGAGGGAGGGAGGAAGTCTTACCAGTGACGCAGGTAGTTAAAGGAGAGTTGACAGAGGCGGATAGGAAAACAAGATAGTTCAAGAGGCCAGAGAGGATCTGATGCGAAACTTGAGCAAGGAGGGAGGAAGGAGAGAAGCGATAGGAGGGAGTGAGAGGATGGGAGAGAGAAGGAGGGACAGAAAGGAAGAAGAGGAGACGAGGGAGTGAGAGCACGTACTGAAGATCCGAAGAGCGAGGCGAGGAAGCCACTGTCTGTAAGGAGAGGAAAGGAGGAGACCCTATGAAACTGAAGAGGCGACTGTAAGGGCAGGAGCTTGAAGGAAGAATGAAGGATGATGAGGGAACGCACGCGAAAACGAGAAGGAGGGGAGCAAGGATGGACGTATGGATGGAGGAGGTTGAGGTTGAGGTTATGATTGAGGTTGAGGAGAAAGAGGAGGAAGATAAAGAGGAGAAAGATAAAGAGGAAGGGGAGGAGGAGGAGGAGGAGTAGGAGTAGGAGGACTTTCGGTACCTCACTGGACAGAAGAACGAAGAGGGCGACGGGTAGGAGGCACCACATGTTGGTATACATGAGCACGCCCATCTCCGACATCCCTGGCCGCCCCCAAGCTCATCAGCGCCCCAGCTCTCCCTCCAGCTCCCTCCCCACCTGTCTTCTTCTTTACTTGAGTCACGGCCCGCAGGTACAGCGCGGAAGAGAGGCAGTTGCAGGCGACGTGCACATACCCGCTGCAGCCGGACTTTAGCTGGACTCTACCCAAGGGCCCCACCGCTCTCCTCTGACCCACCGCAAACTTCCCTCGAAGTCTCCCAGCCCGGCAAGGATTGCGCCTGCCAATAGGCTCAGCTGGGCCCCCGCTGGAGCCGCTCGCTGCCCCTCACCCAGCAGCATGAGGACTATGGAGAGCCAGATGCTCATTGGCGCCAACTTGTCTCGAGAGCGTCAGTAGGAGGTCGAGGGCATCGAGCATGACCTTGCTGTCGCTGAACCAATCCAGAAACTGCGGAGGCAGCTGGTCAGACTCTTCCTGCTCTTCCTGATCCCAACAACCCTCCCCCCCCCCCCACCACACTCTCTCTCTCTCTCTCTCTCTCTCTCTCTCTCTCTCTCTCTCTCTCTCTCTCTCTCTCTCTC